CCTTCCCTAAAAGCAGAGCTCATTATACTGAATGAAACATTAATAACATGGACTTCTCTCATTTTATGAAACTTAATTAAATAAAACAAAACAGATAAAACCTCAAAAACCCAAACTCACACAGTAAAAGAATTCCTGATTGTTCTCAACATACAATGGAAAAGAAGCTAGGAACACAGAGACTCAAAATATGTCACAAATCACATGTCAAGATCTTTAGATATTTCGTTTCAAGTTTTATAATATTACTATATTGTGTTTTGGTTTGCTAACTACTGCACAAAATTGCTGGCAAGACCACTCTTCGTAAGCAACAAAAACAAAACCCTTTTTCAGTTGAAGTAGAAATTAATAAACTAGTATACAAATACCCTTCAATTTAATTAACACAGTTTTAAACAAAGCAACAAACTGAGATTATTCCTTCTCCCACACTTTTGTACTAACTCAGGTAAGTGCTTAGAGCAAGTTTAGAGGCAGCAGCCTTTTCAGAGAATATGATGAAACCTCTAGCAAGTCACATGGTGCCCAACTTTTAAAATAACATAATTGTGATTCTGTCTCTATCAAACTGCACAACATGCTAATGCTCTTTTAAGTCTATTTTGGTTCCCCTGCAAAAATGGGACTTCAGACCTGTTTATTTTTACTAGGCATCTTTTCAGTGAGGAGTACAGTCTGTAAATCCACCCTGTGCTCAGCACTGAAGTGATGGTGCCTCACTTGCAGCAGCAGACCTGGTGGAGTCTTGGTCCATTGGGATTTCCAGCACAGTGTTCCTACTGCCCACACCTTTAGAAATGGATATCAGCCCCCTGTGACACTCAGGATTATTGTGATGAAAGATAATGAAGAGACTTATGTATATGCACTCTCAGAGCCTTAAAAATAATTGTGTATTCCTCTCTTCTGAATCAAAAACCGCTCTCAGATTTGATGAGGAACTTTGATAAAAATCACAAAAGCAAAAAACAATACAGCTATCACTGAATTCCCTACATAGTAGTGTACCAGTTGTTAAGTCTGAATTTCTTTCTGTTTTTTTATTTTTTTATTTTTTAAACACATTTAAAATTTATAAAACTTAACAATTTAAGGGGACACTTTCAGTCCCCTTCACTGGCTTTCATAAGACTGCTTCTACTATATAGGATGAGTAATCATCATCATCACAACATAATAATAATGATGTAGTGACAGAATTAGAACTAGTCTTCCTTTACCCTACTCTGTTTTTCTACACACAAATACCTGCTCCAACTTTTTCACTTATTTACTAGTTTATTAACTACTAATTACCTACTTGTAGAAACTGCAAAAGATCACTACCGCCAGCAGTTTCATTTGCAGGGGCAAAAAAACAACGGGCATAATAAAACAACAAAACACCATCTTAATAAGCTTTAATCTAGGCTCCCTCCACATGCCATCAACATTTAAATTCAACCCAAGTTGTGACTACACACTCCTGACACTCCCCAAAGCCTCGAGTCACAAGCACAAAGCCTTCTCAGCATCATTCCACATCTAGCAAGTAGGAAACGAGACCAGCACACACGAAGCCCATCCTCAGGACAATTTCAGCCTCCTCCTCTGTGGCTTCCACCACAGCAACCATGCTCCTGCATGGCCCATGAAAAATGCTGCTGCAAAAATGGCTCTTTTCAGGTCCTCTACATGTTGTCCCTATAAATCTAAACTAAGCACAGATCCTTGTCTTCATCCTTAAGGACTTCACTACTTTAACCCCTCCACTCAGCAGCTTTGAGAAGAACTGGACACCTCTCTTAACTCAGCTGGCACTCCCATGCCATGTCTGCCCTGATCACCAGCTTCTGCTGCTCATGTCTCCATGCTTCCTTCCACTTGTGTCATTACACTACAGGGCCACATAATTAAATTTATAAACCCTTAAGTCTCAATGCATTTTCAAGGTTTATTATTGTGAAACCAACAAACTTCTGCCAAGTGGCCATGGCATCATCCGTCCTGGTGGGTTTCACCCTTCTATACTCAGTCTCTGGTTAAAAAATGGTTACGGACACGTGCCTGGCAAGGAGGTGACAGTTCTTCACCATGGCCTTTATCTCATGTGTTGGCTCATCTGTTTGTCTCTTTAGGCTCCTGAACTGCCAGAACAGAAATCACAAACTGTTTCAACACTACTCGGTCCAGAACAATGAGCTCCCTCTGGTAACTGAAGCATTTGGGTACCACCACAACAAATATTTACCAAAGCAAGAACACAGATTTATTCTGTTTCCTAAGCAGCAGCAAGAAGCATTAGCATCTGGTTATCCTGGTTATCCTTTTGGTATATAATCTGCTGTAGTTAGCTGAAGATACAGGTCAATAAGTAGTAGTGTATTTTGGCAGGTATTCCAAAATCAGCAGCTGCCACTTCAAAGAATTTATTTTTCTTAGATAGAGCCTTGCAAAAGTAGGAAAAGAACATCTACATATCTAGACTACAAAGACATTCTCATTACACTATTTAAAAAAAAATAATAGCTTCAATAGCCTTAGTTATTATAGGTTTAAATATAGAGGGTTTTTTTCCCTTTTAAATCTGCCGAAATGCACATCTCATACTACAAAATGGAGTAACTATTTCTTGTCTCCCGAAGTCCCACATAACTAAATGCATTTCTGAAAGAGAAGCAATACCCACAGAGCATCAGTGCTATATTCTCAGTACCTGTTTCCACAGTGTTTTCTGTTTCTGCTGCCTCCAAACCATCCATACTGTCTTCATCCTCCACTGCAGTTTTTCCTCTACTCCGAGGCCTGCAAATGTAAGAAGGAAAAACTCTTTTTAGACTGAAAGCATTTGTAAAATTAGGATTTAAATCACTTCATTCCGAGGGATGAATGTCAGCACTTAATTATGTAGCATTCAAGCTAACCCATTATTTCAGTCTTCTATAAATTGGAAGCTTCCTCTCATTTTTTCTCATTCTAGGCTTTTGTCCCCAGCAAGGTACACTTGTAACAGCAGTTGGTCCCTTAAGTTTCTCTGATTCTTCTTACAAGAAAAAATACTATAATAAACTTTTACTGATCAAGCAACAGACTAACTCAGCCAGATTTTGATACAAGCATCCTGTCTGCTGCTCCATGTAACATGTAACCATAGAGAGATAACAGAAAACACTATCCAAAATCTGGGCAGTAGCTACTCTAAAATAGAGACTGATCCACGCAAGAAGGAATATCCACAGAATAATAATGATGCTGAAGCAATGAAACTGAAACACACATTATTTTCAATGAAACAATATTTTGACACATGAAGTAAAATGTTATGAGAGATGACTAGATGTCATCACATTAAAAAAGTCATCACGTGAGGACAGCCTGTCAAAACTAAAATACCTGGCAGATTTGTTTCAATTTCAACCGAGGTCTGATGGAAAGCAGACAGGTTTGTGCCACAAATTCCAGCCTTTTTTCCCTGCCTGGCTCTTCAGTAACTATCATGGTGGGCTGTTGAGAAGCCCAGGCATCCAGATTCCCAGCTGTTCAGCAGCCCATTTGAAAGGGAGCCAAGAGCTTGGCAACTCGCCTCCCAAATTTTCAGGCTACTTGGCAAGCTGCCTGGCATGCTGACGGAAAGCCTGGGAGACCCTGGGAGCTTCTGATTCCAAGTACACAAATTTTGAGTGGTTTGGGGCATCTCAGCAGTTCCAACATCCCAGAGCTCCCAGGCAACCATTCACCCAACCAACATGCCTTGAATTGGGATGCCACGCAGGCCAGCACACGGGCACCCCGCCTGCCCCCCCAGACAAAACCCCTCCAGTTCCTCTTTCACTGAGGATTCTGAAAGGTTTGGGTTTAGCTCTGCACTGGGGAGAAAAGGTTTTGGGTTTTGTTTTGGGGTTTTTTTTGAAGTGATTAAATCATTCCAAAACCAGCATTTCCTTTTTTTGTACAGTCTGTTATAGCACTTTGGTCCATCCAAAACTGCTTCCGCAGGGCTGGATCTGCTAAATCAGCTACAGAAGAAATGCTATCATGCAATGCCTTTGGTTCTCTTGGATCAAAGAACTGGGCAGAACTGGAACCATCCCTGAGTCTGGAAAAGGTTGCTCTCCTGCTAGAAGAGGACTAACTCTCTTGGACAACTCAGCAAGACAACCCCTTCAGACTGTGTTGGGACCATTTTAGTCTCTGTGAAGGAGGAAAAAAAAGAACTAAAATGAGGCTCAAACCGAAGTCTGAACCTCCCACTTAATTTACAAAGGAGCTGAGGAGGGAAAGAGAAAAGCAAGAAGAGATTAAGGACAAGAGGACTTTTCTTGGCATCCCTATAAAATTTGTTCAGGATAATGCTGAAAAACATGAGCACGGTGGGAACCCTAGGGATTACAAGGTTATTGTTCCTCCTGCCTGTTTATCCAAAAGCAGTGACAGCACACCCACAACACACAAAATACGTAACAACCTTCTTATGAGAGACAGAAGCATCCCCTTCACTTATATGCCACTTTACAAGCTCCCATTGTAGTCTCTTAAAACCCACGTGTCACAAAAATTGAAACCAGAATCAACCAGAGGAAACGGTCTTGCACTCCTCCCTGCAGCCTCTGCATCAGCCCAAGTGACCAGTGAGCTGGGCAGAATGGGGACACATGTTCTGGGAGTGGGAAGGACACAAACACTGCTGGCAGCAGCATCTGAGATGGTCACACAGATGGATTTCCATCCATAACAAAGAACAGGGAGCAGAGTAAATGCATTGTTACAGCCACTGGGTAGAACAGGCTCTTCCAGCAAGACTGAGATACAGCAAGGAAGGTAACACTCCTCTAACACTTAGAAAAACAAAGCAGCTGGTAAAGCAGCCAAAAGCACTCAAATATTAAATTTCTTGCAGTTCTTCACAACATCCCAGCACATCATCCAGCACTCAGTGAAAGGGTAAGAATGCAGGTGAGTGAAAAGCTTCCTTTGGTGTAGGAATGCTCAAAAGCTTTACAGAACACAATCAGCTAAAGACAGGGATTATTTCTAAATCCTATCCCAATTATTCTTCTACCAAATACCTGCCAGCAATGCAAAGTTACAAGTCTGTACTAAACAAGGATTATTGTGAAATTATCACAAACATAAATGATAATTCTGCTTTTTCAAGGGTACCCTTTTCAGTACTCCCCAACACAACCCTGGAGTAAAACTTGCTGGATAGTGGAAGATGATGATCGTTTATGTTTATTTAATAATTTACAGATGAATTTAGATTTTCTATTAAACTACAGTTCATGTATTGAACACCAAAGTACCTCACAAAGCCTTTTTAAACATTTTGTTTAAACAAGAGTAGTATCCAAGCCTTGAACTCCCTATCGTATTTTAGCAACCCATTTAACACCAAGGAAAAGTAGAGGTTTCAATTAATTAAACATAATTGCTTCTTTCAGTAGAAGATATAACCACGTCTGGTGTTTTCCTGCCATTCCCCTCCCACAAATATTCTACAAAAAGGCTTCTTAATGTTGTGTAGGTTTTAAATAAAACTGAAGAAACAGTGGAAAACATGGTAGATTATATCATTAACTTATTCTTGCTGGTTACATTAATTTCCCAATCATCAGAAGAGATTTTATAGCCTACAAATTTATGTTTGGCTTAGAGCAAAAAAATAATTCAAGTCACAAAACAGTGAAATACACATTCTACTGACAACTATAATTTAATGTTTCCACAGCAAATGCCATTTGAGAAGGCCATATAGCATACCTAATCGCTGCAATCAGCATTTGTAGTAAGAATGGATTGTTTCATGTTATTTGCATTAAATTTACACATTTTATTTCACAGTTTCATACATAAAGCTTTTGGCCGGTTTGCGTAACACTACATTTTTCCACTGACAAACCCTGTTAATTTTTTAAATTTTTCTCTATACTTCTTTCCACTTGCCCTTAAATACAGTGGGAAAAACAGCCTGTGCTCTGATCTTTGTCTGGGACTTGGTTTCTTCTCAAGTTCATCCTTCTGAAGGAGGATGTGAGAAGGTAATAAGGGAAAGATGGTTCTGGGGATCAGTTTTTGTTGCCTTAAAGCATTTACGGAACAACAGCCCATGACTTATTGCCCTTCACCCACATGAAGCCAGGCAGTCCTGAACCATAATTGCTGTGTTGAACACTACAACCTCAGTTCTGCTTTAGATCTTGAAGCCCAACCCCAAAGTTTCTGACCAGGAGGAGTAACTACATCACCCTTCCATCCACATAACACAGCAGCAGCTCAGGACAGCAGAAGTATTGAACACAGATGAGCCACATCTCCTACAGCTCACAAGAGACCCAGAACAAAATGTACAGGCAGAGCCTGACCAATACACAGTCTGCCAGAAAACAATAAATATTAGTCAGTGGGCAGGCAGGGAGCTTGGTACACGGGCTGAAGAGCTGCCAAGGTCCTGCCATGGCTTCCTCCCCGCCTTTTTCCTACAACAGAGTTCAATTTAGAAGGAAAAAAAAACCAACAAGAGCACGTCTATTTCTGCTCAAAAGAACAAATCCATAGAGAGAAATATAACTTCTTCAAGTGTTTAATGCACATTCAGTACTTTATGGAAAAAAGTCAACAACAAAGACAAAACTATACTTTTTTAGGAAAACAAGACTCCAGTTGAATATAATTACTGTCTACAATAATTCTACTCCTACTTCTATAAAATACAGCCATTTATCAAAATCCTTTGTGACCTACTCCTAAATTTTTTATCAATTAGCTTTTTTAGCTAATGCCTTTCATTAGTCTCCATCTTTAAATATACCATGGTAAACAAAAATCTCGTAATTCTTCTCTGGGTAAGCAACTAATTAAATTTAGCCCTGAGGGGGAAAAAAAGCCCAGAAAAACCTTTCACAGGGCTCAGCAGAGCATTAGGTACTCCCTCTGGACAGGGGGAAACCATGATGAGGCTGTCTCAAAGCCCTGAGGATTTGGGTAACACTGAGAGATCACCAGGCACCTGAGCAGCTTCTCTGAACGCATGGAGAGCAGCATCAGAGAAAATGGAAAAGTCTCTTATTTACCTGACAGTACTGAGATACTGTTTCTTTTCTTTTCTGCATGATTGGATTTTGGTTTTTTTGCTGTTTTGTTTTGTTTTTTCTTTAAAGATCACAGCAATAGCACCATAACTGGACAAGTACAATGTAGGTCAAAAGTACATCTTGGATCTTATTCATTCTTTCCACAAAGTGATCAGGAATAAGGCCATGGGCCAACATTTCCTGGAACCACATTAAATAACTGACAAAGCTACTATCCTCAGATGCCTGTCACTGCCAGGCCCAGTTTATGATTACCCAGAAGTTACTGCCAGACACCAGTTTCTATAAGTCTTCCCTAAGTTGCTACCAACAAAAATCATGTGACAGCTTGTTCAAGAGCATCTATCAGGACTACCATACTCATCCCGTGCATTTTGTTCCAGGCTTATAAAAACAGGTACACGTGATCCACTCAAGAGTTTACCCCTTTTTCCAAAATGCTGAAATCTCTACCTAATCCGGAAAACAAACCACCTTCCTTCATATGCTTTGCAAACCACGGAGCAAACTGATGGCACTAAATATATAAAACAGGGCCAATAACCTTAAAAAGCAGTGTAACATCTGGGATACAGTAACATCCTAAACCAGCACAGATGTCTTGTTAAATGAACATCTGTCCACAGCCTTACGCTGGAAGATGGTACAGGAATGATTTATAAAAAGGTTCAATTAGTGCTGCCATCAGCATGGCTAGTCACAAATTAACGTTCA